TTAAATCCCCTCGCTCTGCGCCGCCGCGCGCATCCTCGATCAGACAACGAACGAAGAACAGAACATGTGTCTGCATCACTCATCCAACACATCGATAAAAATCTACGTGACGACAATATTTCTCTCCTCATTCACGATACACGAATATATGTAGCTCTGGGTCAGGCTGTCGTGCCTTCGTCGCAGTTCGATGCAGTTATTCCGAGTTCTTCTTCCAGTCACACAGCGCCATTTATGATATTTAAATGGCGCGATCAACGTAAAGAAGAAATAAATTACGTATAGCATTGGTTTCGAGATACAATGAATTCTTTCATTTTCTTAAAATTCTCTTCTCTTTCCTACTTTAACGAAGACACGTCGAATATATATGCCGGAAGTGGTGGACGTTTCCCAGCTCGAACAGATAACACTGATATGATTAAATGTCTGCGTCTGATAAAGTGGGATAATTAACAAGTAGATTTGTCGTAGTTATATGTTACGGCAGATTAACTGCGAGAACATTGACACGTTGTAAAGCCACACGAGTGCCACGTATTTTCTTAAAAGGAAGCACTCGTTTCCTCGCACGTTTTATCGCTCTACGCATCATTTTGCATCGCTTCCGCGTACATACATGGCGGCTCTTGCCAAGCTGATTATAGCTTCAATATCTAGTCACTTCGCTGTTAAAGATGCACGCTCTTTTATGACAAAATATAGCTTGATAAACAATTTTTACTTCCACCGCATCTTTATTTTGTACGCTGGTCGCCTGTGAATCGCGTGATTTCTGTGATAGCGATATTAATTGCTGACAGCGTCCGAGTATTTGCTGAATTGGAAACATGAGGTCGTAAGTTCTATTTTTATAGAAGATAAATAGGAACGGATAATGATAATGCAATGACAGCGTTGCATATGTAAAGAGCTGAAGCAAAAGTCTCGGAGTGGCATCATAAATTAATTATTGGCACCAAAATTGATACTTTTTTCGTGATTTACATGATCGAGTTGTACGATAGACTCCATTTTAATTCCTCGCGAATAAATTTCCGTCATTTGGTATTTTGTTTTGACGATAGAATAAATATAAATTAATAAAATTCGTATGGCTCAAATGTGATAAACACAAAACTTGAAGGAATAAAGGACTAAGAGCCGTGACAGGATGTTAGTGTCTAAATATTTTTTTCTAAATTTATTGCGAAAAAATATCACCTCAGCCAGGGTTTGAACCTAGACCTTCCTCTCACTAGGCGTTTCTTCGTAATAAATTTAGAATTAAATATTTAGACACTAACACCCTGTCACGGCTCTTAGTTCTCTATTCCTTCAAATTTGAGAATAAATATATTTCAACAGTAATAATTTGAGTCAATTAGTACACATTTAATGATAAGATATGATAAATACGTTCACATAAAATAATTCTTGAGCCACTCGAATCACATCCACTTACATGTGGCTTTTAGGGAGTTTTTCCAAAGCCAAAAGTCATGCGACAGAAATCACGAGAATGATACAATTCCGATCATGAAACTAGTATACAACTTTGTAGATGACTTCACCCAGACCAACGACCTATTCTCAGAGATCAAGACAAGTATCCCGCGTCCATAGAGAACACGACGAACGCTACTTACATCATTGATGCGCACTGATCGGTCATTTTAACGAGGTCAGCTGTATTCGAAGGTGTTAGACAGCAAGGCGAGCGGAACGATGAAGTTACAACGATCGAATAATTTCACTGAAGTTGCCGTCGTTCGTTCCGATAATAAGAATGATATTCTTTATTACGCAAACCGAACAATCGCCTTTAGATATGATAATCGATTATCAATTGCTCATGATCCGTCAATCTGTCTTCCATTAAGTGTCTTCCACCAATCTGATTAATTAATCTTTAATATTTTCTCAGAAGAAACTTTGTGCGTACGTAAATAGTTGTTTTGCTCTTCCAGATAGCTTTTAGCAAGCGTGATTCTCTCATTGCCGCATCCAAGATATGTGTATTGGTGTACATCATTTATCTTATTCGTCACAATAGTGACGGTTCTAGGAACGGCATTGTTTATATATTTTATCGTTATATCGTTTTCCAACAAAAAGGATTTACTTTAATACACAACTCTATGCTATTCTGCACACTAGCTATTGCATTTTCACACAAAAGGCGCTTTCCAGTTCTACAAATTTCTTTCCCCACATACGTCTTATTAAATACCGCATGATATGCCCCTATACATATATGCGGTACTATAACAGTGTTAAACTTCGGATCATGTCGGAATAACTTCCCTGTAAGAAGGCAATTATACGCTTCACCTTCACTCCAGCTGTCTAGAGGTTGATGACCTACTGCTACGCGAGAAAGTCTTACACTTACTTTAGAAATTATACCGTACTTTCTTTGATTGTTTTGGCTCGAAAAAATTTTATTTCATTTAAATATAGGTTAATGACACCTACTGCAACGCGAGAAAGTCTTACACTTACTTTAGAAATTATACCGTATTTTCTTTAATTGTTTTGGTTCGACAAAATTTAATTTTATTTAAATATTCCTCGATAACTTTATTTTGCAAAATTATGTGTTTTGTACCCTAGTATTTTTATATAAAAATGCCGTATGTTAACGTCGTTTTTGTAACATAAAATAATACAAAATCCTGTACATATTTTAATAAACAATAATGAATTTATTCAAATAACAATCGCTATCATATCAATAATGTGTTATATGAACATTGTATTGATACATCGATGAGAATACACACACGCACGCGCGCGCGCGTATGTGTATGTATAAAAATATAGCAATGACACAAGTGACAGAAATGTTTCATATCTAAAACAATATTACAAAACGCCACATCACATTGTGTATTTACTGCCACACGTGCTGTTGAGTTAAATCGAAGCCAATCAGAATATTTTCAAGGATGAGCTTAATGAGTGTTCATAATGATGTCAAAGCAGCGTAATATTTTTTTAATTAAAAATTAATTTTTGTTATTGTCGCATTAAATACACTCAAGTATATAACGAAATTTTATTCTTTCTGATAAAAGATATTTATTAGTGACAATTTTACTTAATTAAGATGACGAAACGAGATAATTATTATTTCATATTGATTTTGTGTGTATCAATATCGAGATTAAAGATATTTATCGCTGTGTTTATTACGGAATAACAGGTTGATAACAGGTTATGCATGATTAAAACTCTGCTTTTCATATTGATCATGTTACGGTTATTTTTTGGGGGATTTCTATCAATAACGATCGAGGAAACGATTAATCGGTTGATTTACAACGCAATTACGATTCCGCGAATGTTTCGTGTCTTGAAACAACAGTTCTGTTAAGAGACAGTGAGCAATTAAGTGACGTAACGAGCGAGTTTAACTGTAATAAGTGATTTCAAGCTTGTTAAACGATTTCCTGTGAACCTTGTACCAGTTACGTTCAATTGGAGAACTAATGTTAGTCCCACGCAATGCGCTTCGTTGATATACATATTGCACGTTATTTTGTAAGTAATTAATTTCGCATTGACATTAATTACTTCGAAAAATTCGATTCGATATAGGAATGAGTAATATACAAGGCATTGTAAGTAAAGATGCCTTTTAATTAAATAGTAACAATAAATATTATAGATTTATGTTTCCACAGAAAGAAAATTATTTATATTAGTTAAAACGTCATTAATTCAAGGACACGTGTGGAAAAATTGAGGATTATACGTCAATCAGACCATTCCCTTGACGAGTGAATCGAAATTCAATGCGCATGTCACAAACTTGGTCTTTGTTTGCACTCACACATGCGCGGATGATTGCCCTAAATAATAAAACTGTTGCTTCAAAGAAAAATTATTTTTTTGAGAATCGCAAAGTAGCGATTTCGCTTTCCGTTGTATTTTCGTTTTCGAGTGAATAAGATAGGCCAGGCCAGTATGCATAGTATTGATTGCTAAGTGACGCGTAACGTACCGCACACATCGCACACACAGTGTGACAATCAGCTGTATGCGAAGTAACAGACAGGTGTTCGAAATCATTGCATGATACTGTTGGTGTTGCGTATAAAATCCGAGCAATATATCTCTTCATATTAGCAATAGCAATCGTTCTAATTGTTATAACGTATAAATTATTCCGGTTCATTTTTGCGTATATTTATTTAACGCATTCCGTATTATCGACGATAAAAATCTCTTGAATTAGCTATAAGAAGGAAGTTGTTAACTAAAAAGATAATAAATACGACAATTGTGTTGTTAAGAAATCGAGTATCGATGATAATATTCAGAACGAAAAATAAAAATAAAACCAATGGTTTTCAATTACGAGAAATAATGTAAACAATATAACACATTGTTAATATTACAACTAGAATGAAGAAATTAGTATGGTTGATACTGCATGAGTGCTTTAATATTTTGCATATAAATAATACATATTTTTGTTTCTAAAGTGTCAATCATGAGTTTAAAATGGACCGAGAAGACAGAGAGGAAAGAAAATTTTGATCTAACTATTAAGATAAGTTAGAAAAAATTTTATAGGCAGTAGATAAAGAAACTATTTTTGTTATAGTATTATGTCGTAAAATCGCTGTCAATGTACGCGATTAATACTGCGAATTAAATATCTATATTCTGGATTTGTAAGAAATATTTAAAACGCCTTACTTCTTTCTTAGAGAAACACTATGAGAAACACTAACACACCTATGTCTTTTTTCTATCAAGTATTGATTTATATTCTGTAAGCACACGACGTATAAGTTGAACAATTTATTCACGCACAAACAATTTGCAGACAAGTTTATTTTAATTGATATAAAGCACTCAAGAATACTGCAAAGACTTGGTGATATTCTATTAACAGATGCTATGCCGACGTTTACCGATGCCGCATTTTCACAAAATATCATCGATTCTTGGAAGATTAAACACTGCAAGTGAAATTGGAAATGGGCGAATCAAGGTCAAACTCTCACCTTGATGATCGATCGCGTTGAAGGTACCGGTGACCAGCGACCGCCGCGGCGAATTGTTAAGAGATGCACGTCAAACTGATGAACCGAGCTCGCACCTCCCCGCGAAAATTACTGACCGACGTGACGAGTTGCTGGAACGAAGCTTCGCGAGATTCTGATGGTGCTTGATGAAGGAGGGCCCACCCGACGAGGGCGCTTCAAGGGGATCACGCCATCGCGCCGACTCCGAAAAGTCTGCAAAGCTGATGTTGGGTCGCGGATGCCTCATGGAAGGGATGTAGCATCGATCGTTCGTACTAGGTGAGGTCTACGGCCTTTAAATGCCAGATTCTCCTCTCTAGCAACAACTTGTACTTTCAACGGCAAATATATGTGACAAGAGATGCAAACATCATTTCCTTGTTATTTCCATCAATCAACATTCCTGTTATCCATGTTTCCTTTGACCAATTTGGAGTTGATCTTTCCCTAATAAAAGCGTAGGAGTGCGCGAATAGCTTTTAGAATTGGAAGCCATGGCGTGTATAGGGATTTTTACGAATTAAGAGTTTCCAAAGCAATAAAAATAGATTATAACCTTTTTATTTTTTATTCCGTCTCAATATTATATTAAGTTTAGAATTTGAATTTGTGCATTAATTATAAAAATATACTGATTAATTAGACACTATACATACTAATGGTAATGTCCTTGCTACAGTTCGTGCTGCTTAAATTGTATTCTATCTTCAAAAAAGTTTAAAATAGTATCAACTTTTTATTATTATGCAGTTTTCTGGAAAATAAAGGTTCTTGGTGCACTATGTTTGAAAAAATATAATTTTCTTACAAATTACATGTAAGTAAGAGAAAAATTAATAGTAACTTGGTTTTTTTTATAATAGAACAATATGCGGAACAACAATAATGCCTTTGTTACTGTTTGTACTCTCTTTGGTTATTCTTTCAAATTATTTATTCTTTGAAAAAATTTAGAACCGTTTAGAATTTTTATCACGATGCATTTTTGCGATAAATGAAGATTTTTGGTGCATTGGTGCGTTTGAGATAAAAGTACAAATGTCTTACAAATTAAGGATATTAGAAATATTAGAAATAAATGATTTTTTCATGATAGATCTTGCCACAACTATCTACTAGAAATTTTGTTAATAGAAATAGAGATTTTTATGTCCTCTCTGATGTAATGATATTGTCAATAAAAGTATAACGAAGCTTACTAACAAATTTAGACAATAGATTGGTAACACAAAATTAAGCACATTCTGTCTACTTTTTAACTGCGGAATTGGCGGCAGAAACTGAGTTAATTCCCAGAGAACATGCACGTCTAAAAGACATATTTAAGACGTCAGTGGGTTTATGTGGGTTTATGCTGACAACTGCGGACAGGAAGATTGGCAGCAGAAATGGAATATACTCTGTTATTTGGTCGCTATATATATGTAATGTTATAATTACTTTATTTACCATTTAAAAATGTATTCTACACAAATACAAAAGTGACTTGGGGATGACAGAAATAAAGAAGTCATAGATTTCAAGCCGGTTAGATATTTACATTGGTTTTAAAAAAATTTATGTCTATATTCTATACTGTTAGATTACATGTGAGCTATAGAATGAACTAATAATTGTGGTATGTAGAAAAGTAAATCTCATTATGATTAATTTTCGAAATTTCAAATGCAAAGTCCACATATGTCCAACAGAGTTCGCTGGGATCGTTTTCTGTAACTGCCGTACACTTGTAATCTCCATTCATTATATAACCCCAGACCTCGGACATTTCATTCCGTTTATCTGGGTACAGTATAAAAGGTTAGTCAAGTTCAAATTAAAAAATAAGAAACTTTATAAAGCAATTAATTGTCTGATCGGTATATTCAAGATTCAATATTCATGGTATATTCAAGATCGTCTTGAATATACCATGTGATTATGAATACCGGGCTATGTTATTTCTACAAATAGTATTTCTTATTTTCATGTGAGTAACACATTGATCTGTATTGTGTACATAGGTGCTGTTATACGGGCATTCCCAGAGAGCAATTTGACAGGCGGAAAAGAAACTGTGTTGGTTCCAAACAAACAATCAGCGAAAACAATGGAACTCGCAGAATGGATATGGAAATATTACACACAAGAAGGTCCTAATACAGTGACGTGTAACCGTTGTCTTGAAATTTTACCTAATCATAACAGACTGCAAATCTTAAAATACCACTTATATGATAAACATGGAATAACAGAATTAGATGGGCATCCAGAACGTGACATCATACAGGAAAATTTTAAAATAACATGTCTAACAGCAACGTGTAATCATTGTAAAGGAAAAAGTAACCTTGCCATTTATGGTGTACATATTTTAATAATTCATTTAAGAACTATTCATTCGGATAAATATAATTTAAACAAGAGAAGGTCAGGTATATGGGCAAAGTACGATATAACAGACAACAAGGCAATATGCAAACAATGCAAAAGAATAATAAAAATAAATAGTAAAAAACCTCAAAGAAATTTATATCTTCACCTACATCGTTGTCGGCAAGTATAAGAAAATAAATAGTAATTAGTATACAGTGAGCATAAGGATAAAAATACATGTGAGAAATGTGTGTATACACAATACAAAGAGAGAGACGCTATTGTAAATTAAATAATTTTACATCTTATATATTTTGCATCGTGTTTTTTACAAGACCGTTAAACATTGTCACTCGGATTAATGTAGGTTCAAGAAGATAAAAATATCACACATATGGGACAAGTTTAACGTAAAAGAAAGCAAGGTTACGTGCAAAGAATGTAAAGGAACAATAAAAGTAAATAGTAAAATACCTACGAAAAATTTAAATGTTCATCTACGTCATTGTCGGTAAGTACACGTATGAGAAAATAAAATATTAATGAGTATACAGTAAGCATAAGGATAAAATTATATGTAAATCTGTGTGAATATATAATAACAATACCGAGAGAAAGAAGTTATTGTGAGCAAAATAACTTTATATCTTATTTACTTTACATCGTGCTGTTTTTACAAGACCGTTAAAAATGATTACTCCGATTAATATAGGCTAAAGATGAGACGAAAAATATCACACCTATGGGACAAGTTCAATGTGATAGAAAACAAGGCTACATGCAAAGAATGTAAAAGAACAATATTAATAAATCGTGAATATATGAGAGTAGAATTAACACAACATTTAATACTTTATTGTCAGTAAGTATGAGAAACATTTGAAATATTGGTAACTGCAGAATATATATAATCGTGAAATAATGCAGCTGTGCAAAGTGTACATATGTCATAGCAATATGAGTTACAGTAACAAAATTATTTTTCTCTTTGTCTGCCCACTCTTAAGTTACTTTAATAATTACTACCTGGACAAATGTAAGTTAAAAGAGATGCAAAGGAGATTACGCATATGGGACAAGTACGAGGTAACTAACACCAAAGCAACATGCAGGAAATGTAAAGAAGCAATAACAATAAACCGTGACACTCCTGCAACAAATTTAAGCGAACACTTACTTCAATGTCGGTAAGCACACATCTCAGAAACATTTACAATAATGATATTAAAAATAAATATGTTATTATAACATTTAAAGAAAGTGTGAATATATAATAGTTACTGTAAATTATGCAATTATTAAAAGGAAATTTGACTGCATTAATTTTTTTATAAGCTACTCAAATATTGACGACCTAAGTATAGGCTCATTAACGAACTTTCGAAAACCACACGCTTGGGAAAAGTTTGTTTATTATGGAGACAGAGCGATATGCAAGCGATGTTATAAAAACCTGGAACTAAGTGGTACACGACCAATAGCACGTTTACGGAGTCACTTAAAATATTGTCGGTAAGTACACATACAAGAAACAGTTTTAATATTAATGCATGTAATAACGTTCTCATCATTATATGAGAAAGTAATGTTAAACGAAAGTTGGTGAATATATAATGTCAATATACAACTGTTGTTAAAATTAACTAATGGTACATTTCACTGCATTTATTCTTCCGTAAGCCGCTTAAGTCTTGGTGAACTGAATAAAGATGCGTTAAAGAAGTTATGTAAAAGATCAGAAATATGGAAGAAGTTTGATGTAGATGGAAACAAGGCGATATGCCAGAAATGTAAAAAGGCACTGTCAATAAGTGGTAGAAAACCATTAGAAAATTTACGGGCTCACGTAACATCTTGTCGGTAAGTACTCATACAAGAAACATTTAGAATATTGATGAGTATGTGACAATATATTCATCATCACATAATAAAATTATAATTAAAGAAAGTTTGTGAATATGTATATGTCAATATACAACTATTATTGATGATAAGAAAGGTTTACATTTTATTGCAATTATTGTTCCATAAGCGGTTTCAATATTAATGATTTAAGTAAAGATGAGTTGAAAGAATTACGAAAACAATCACAGGTATCGAAGCAGTTTGATGAAGTTGGAAACAGAGCGACATGCAAGTGTAATAAAATTCTGTCACTAAATGGTATGCAGCCATCAGCAAATTTCCGGAATCACTTAACATGGTGTCGGTAAATATACATACAAGAAATATGTAGAATATTTATGAGTATGTGACAATATAGAAATCAAATGAATTAAATGAAAAAATTATATTTCAAAAAGTTTATGAATATGTAATATGTGTCAATATACAACTATTATTGAAAATAAGTAAATACTCCATAATAAACAAATAAATAAATGTGTAAATTTACGTTTTACTACATTTATTCTTCCATAACCGGCTTAAATCTTATTGTTAGTGGACTGAATAAAGATGAGCTAAAGAAGTTACGAAGAAACTCAGTAATATGGCAGAAGTTTGATGTAGAGGAAAACAAGGCGATATGCAAGGATCCGCCACCAAAAACAGGACAAATTTAAATTTGAATTTCCCGCCCCACGGGACGTTTCTTTTGTAATTTCGTTTTGACGAATAAAATTTTGTTGCAACAAATTGCCTATTGTGCCTGGATTTTGGTGGCGATATCATACCCTGTATGATATCGTCAGAATACCAATACAAGTATAAAAAAGCTTTCTAACAAATTTAAACAAGAGTTTGTCGGCAAAACATTCTGCAAAACAATATGCTGCGTCCTTTGATAGCAAATTGGATGCAGAAATGGAATTGATGTTTGCAGACAACTGCGGGTAGATTGGCAGCAGAAATGAAAAAACTCTGTTATTTGGTTGTGATGCATGTAATGTCATAATGACTTTTATCACCAATGAATTTTATCACTAAAAATTATCTCTACAACAATGATACAAAGTAACTTGGAGATGACAGAAAAGAAATCAGGTATTCAAGCCCATTAAATATTCATATTGGTTTCCGAAAAATTTATGTCTACTGTTAGCATAGTACCTGTATACAAGGTGTTAAGTAATCCCCTCCCCCAATCATACCCGCTCGCACGCATGCACGTATTGTACGTACGCACGCATGCGCGGGCTCTCCGCCTGGTTTCACACAAAGACATGGTGGAATACCATGCACGAGATCGAGACTGAAATGACCAAAGGGCCGACAGAGAGTGAACATACTAATTATACTATGCTGTTACTGCTGTTAGAGTACATACATGTGAAAAATAGAATGAGAAAACAGTTGTGATATGTAGAAAAGATAATCTTATTACAATTGATTCTTAAAATTTCAAATGCAAAGTCCATGTATAACCAACAGAGTTCGCTCGGGTCGTTTTCTGTAACTGCCCCATATTTGTAACTTCCATTCGTTATACACTCTAGTCCTCAGACGTTTCATTCCGTTTACCAGGGTAAGGTTATAAAAGATTAGTAAAGCTTAAATTCGAAAATACGAAATTTTATGAAGCAATCAATTGTATGTTAACTCCGCAAACAGTACGTCTTATTTTTATGTGTAATATAGGTATGTGTAGCATAAATATATATTGATCTGTGCTGTGTACTTAGGTGCTGTTATACTGGCATTCCTAGAGAGCAATTTGACAGGCGGAAAAGAAACTGTGTTGGTTCCAAACAAACAATCAGCGAAAAATCTAGCCATCCATATTCAAAACTAATAATTATATTTAACATAAAGTACTGAAAGAGGGTTATATCCCAATTATGGAAATTTAAATTCTAAGAGAGGTAACTGAATAATTAGACATATTTTTAAATACATTTAGTTAATTTTATTTGGAATTTCTACTTTTGGACACTTGTATAACGGCAGACAGAACAATGTAAAAACAATATGTATATTCGGATAACCACTAAAATTTCGAAATTCTCCAAATGAAACATTCTAACGAAAGAACAATGTCATTTATAGTTGCCAGTGATAATTAAGAATTAAACAAGGTAAGCTGGTTGTCAGCCCAACTGGCAAATTTTATTAAATTAGTTACAACGTGACCTTACTTCAGGTCCATTTCAAGTAACAATACAAAAGAAGTTTTTGTAGACAAGTGAGTGCAGTTCTGCAGTTCAAATTAAAACTCAAGAATGTTCGGATGTGTTTTTATTCTTTGCCTCTATATTACTATGAGGATGACTCGGTAGTCTACGAAAACAATTTAGTTTGTATTGCTACTTGAAAAGAATCTGAAGTAAGTTTGAAACGTTGAAACATTCTATTCTCTTCTTTCGATTTTGATACTTTCCTGAAATCAAGGAGTGAGAAGTATTTTAACTGTTCTGTCTGCGAGTGTACATGTGAAGTTACAATATATAAGAAGGCATGTATTTTGTAATTACAGATATCGAATATTTTAGTTATTGGAATTGTGATCTAACTTATTCAAGATGCTTTAGTCTTATACGATCAAGCTGTTGTGTGTTACAATATTTATTATCGTTCAGACTTGGAATATATATTTTGAAAACTTTTTGTTCAATGTAGAGGTTTAAAAGTTTGGCTCTTTGTTATGCTTGTTTGTTGAATTGTTTTGCATCCTGCAGATAAGAGAGAATAAAAACCAGAATTTGTTAACTTTTATATTATTGTTATTATACACCTTTATTATTCCATACTCCTTATAATAGAGCTTGGTATGGCAGGTAAACAGGATTGTATCGATTCTATCAGCATTTATTGCTATTATTTGTTTATCTGATGCTACTTTACACAAATCTTAACTGTGCGCCGATTATTTGTCTTTTTGAAATACAGCTTATTGGTTGGAGTAATCTATCCTTGAATTAATAAATAAATTTAACATTTGATGCTTCTAAGCATTTATTAAATTTATATTTAAATACGTCAAAAATACTTTTTATTGGGAAATATATTCTTACCATTTTTTTTTCAATAAAAAAGAAATTGTCTTCAAGCAACATCGTACAGTCAGTGATTCTCGAAACCTCCAATCATGAATAACGCGGAAATAATACAATACTCGCGATACATAACTCTATAATGCATGCACTTCGTGGAATAAATTACTTTTTTTTATCATGGATGCATAAAATAATGGAATGGAATGGATGGAATAGATGGAATGGATGGAAAGGTATGAAATAGTTGAAACGGATAGAATGAGATAGAATGGAAAGCTATTTTCTGCATTACTATGTCTTTAAAAGCTTAAGTATTTTTTATTTTAAAACATTTCGAAGCATGTTGACTATTAGTTTATTCGCATTTCCATAGTATTTCTTAATTTGGTTTTCTTTTCGACGTATCCTACATTTCAATTAGGAATCATACCTTTTTCGTCATTCCGCGTCCAATTTCACAAATGCTTTTTCAACTTATTGCAGCAGTTGTCACGCTTAGTATCGAACACGTTATAACATAAAACGTTTAAAATGGAAGTTGAAGAATGGCTACGGAAACATTACACACAAGAATGTCCTAATACAGTAAAGTGTAACCGTTGTGATGAAATTTTTTCTAATCAGAACAGACTGCAAATCTTAAAATATCACTTATATGAAGATCATGAAATAACAGAATTAGATGGGCATCCAGAACGTGAAATCATACAGCAAAATTATAAAATAACATGTCTAACAGCAACATGTAATCATTGTAGACGAAAAAGTAACCTTGCCATTTATGGTGTACATATTTTAATAATTCATTTAAGAACTATTCATTCGGATAAATATAATTTAATGAAGAGAAGAAGATCACGTATATGGGAAAAATACGATAAAACAGACGACAAGGCAATATGCAAACAATGTAAAACAGCAATAAAAATAAATAGTAAAATACCTACGAAAAATTTAAATGTTCACCTACGTCATTGTCGGTAAGTATATACATATATGAGAAAATAAAAAATATCAATGAGTTTACAATAAGCATAACGATGAAATTATATGTATGGTACGAAATGTGTGAATATACAATCACAGTGTACAAAGAGAGAGAAGTTATTGTGAATAAAATACTTTTACATTTTATTTATTTTACATTGTGTTTTTTTACAAGACCGTTAAAAATTATCACTCGGATTAATGTAGGTTAAACAAGGTACGAAAAATATCACACCTATGGGACAAGTTCAATGTGATGGAAAACAAGGCTACATGCAAGGAATGTAAGAGAACAATATCAATAAATAGTCAATATCCTAGAATAGAATTAACACAACATTTAATACTTTATTGTCGGTGAGTATGAGAAATATTTGAAATATTGGTAACTGCAAAATATATAATCGTGAAATAAGCATTTACGCAAAGTGTCTTAGCAATATGAGTTACCTTAAAAATTTTTTTTACATTTTGTCTATCCTCTCATAAGTTATTTTAAAAATTACCACCTGGACAAATGTAAGTTAAAAGAGATGCAAAGAAGATCACGCATATGGAACAAATACGAGGTGACTGACAACAAAGCAACATGCAGAAAATGTAAAGGAACAATAACAATAAACAGTGACACTGCTACAACAGATTTAAGTGAACACTTACTTCAATGTCGGTATGTATAAATCGTAGAAACATTTATAATATTGATATAACAAAGTAAATATAATATTATAATAATTAAGGGAAGTGTAAATATACATATAACAGTTACTGTTACTTATGGACTTATTGTAAAAAATAACAATTTTTATTCCATTTATTCTTTCATAAGCTACTCATATATTGACAACCTAAGTATAGGTAAATTAAAGAATTTACGAAGATCACACATATGGGAAAAGTTTGATTGTAATGGAGACGGTGCGACATGCAAGCAATGTAAAAGAAACCTGGTAATAAGTGGTACACGACCAATATCATATTTACGAAGTCACTTAAAATATTGTCGGTAAGTATAAACATACAAGAAACATTTGGAATATTGATGAGTATGTGACAATATACTCATTATTACATAATAAAATGATATTGAATAAAGAAAGTTTGTGAATACATAATGTCATTATACAACTATTAGTGAAAATATCTAAGTTTACATTTTACTGCATTTATTCTTTCAGAAGCGGCTTAAATACAACTGAAGATGAGTTGAAAAAGTTGCGAAGAAGATCATTAATATGGGAAAAGTTTGACGAAGAGGGAAACATGGCAATATGCAAGCAATGTAAAAGAACAGTGTCCATAAACAAAACACATCCAACTATATATTTACGAATGCACTTAAAAAATTGTCGGTAAGTACACATACAACAACATTTGTAATTTAGATGAGTATATGATAATATACTTACCGTTACACAATAAATTAATATTTAAATAAAGTTTGTGAATACATAATATCAGTATAGAATTAGTATTGAAAATAACTGAGTGTACATTTTACTGCATTAATTTTTCCATAAGCGGTTTAAATATAACCAAAGATGAGATGAAGAAGTTACGAAGAAGATCAGTAATATGGGAGAAGTTTGATGAAGAAGGAAACAAGACGATATGCAAGCAATGTAAAAGAACAGTGTCCATAAATGAAACACAACCAACTACATATTTACGGAGGCACTTAAACTATTGTCGGTAAGCACACATACAAAAATATTTGTTGTTTTGATGAGTATGTAATAATATACTTATCATTATATGACAAATTAATATTTAAATAAAAGTTTGTGAATATTTACACAAGGTGAATATACATCCATTTTAGAAAATAAGTAAATTTACATTTACTGCATTTATTCTTTCAGAAGCGGCTTCAATCTTGATGCACCAAAGGTAGATACGTTCAAGAAATCACAAAGAAGATCACTAATATGGGAGAAGTTCGATGAAGAGGAAAACAGGGCTACATGCAAACAATGTAAAAAAACACTGTCAATAAGTGGTAAACAAGCAATACTAAATTTGCGGAGACACTTAAAATGTTGTAGGTAAGTACACATTCTAGAAGTATTTGTAATATTGATGGGTATGTGATAATATACTCATCATTACATGATAAATTAATATTTAAAGAAAGTTTGTGAATATACAACGTATGAATAAGAGGTGAATAACAGCTGTTGTAGAAAATACCTAATTGTACACTTTACTGTATTTATTCTTACATAAGCGGTGTAAATCTCAATGAGCTAAGTGAAGATGAGTTGAAGAAGCTACAAAGAAGATCAGTAGTATGGGAGAAGTTTGATGAAGAGGGAGACACGGCTATATGCAAACAATGTAAAAAATCACTGACAATAAATGATAAACAGCCATTAGTAAGTTTACGGCAACACTTAAAATTTTGTCGGTAAGTACACATACAAGAAATATTTGTAATATTGATGTATGTGTAATAATATTCTCATCATTACGTGATAAATTAATATTTAAAGAAAGTTTACGAATATATAACGTCAATATACAGTTGTAGTAGAAAATAACTAATTGTACATTTATTCTTTCATAAGCGGCTTATACCTAGATGAGGATGAGTTGAAGAAGTTACGAAGAAAATCACAAATATGGGAAAAGTTTCATGTATATGGAGACAGGGCAACATGCAAGCAATGTAAAAGAACAGTGTTAGTAAGTGATACACGACCAGCAGCATATTTACGGAGGCATTTACAATATTGTCGGTAAGTACACGTACAAGACACATTTGTAATCTTGATGAGTATGTGATAATATACTCATCATAACATGGTAAAATAATATTTTAAAAAGTTTATGAACTTTACATTTTACCACATTTATTCTTTTAGAAGCGGTTTAAATCTAGATGAACAAAATAAAGTTGGGATGAAAAAATTACGAAAAGGAGAAATATGGGAGAAGTTTGATAAAGAAGATAACATGGCAATATGCAAGCAATGTAAAAAACCTATAAAATTGGGTTCTAATTATTCAAGCAAGTTACGTCAACATTTGTCTTGTTGCCGGTGAGTACACAAACAGATAAAAGTGGAAATACTGATGAGTGTTACGGCCAGTCAGGCGCACGCTTGCCGAAGGGCAGCCCACAGTGCCTTAAATGATATTAAAGGAAAGGGCGTATACATATATGTGTACAATTGGAAAAATGAAGTAATTGTATAAATATAATTTGACATTTCATTACTTATATTCTTTCATAAGGGGCTTAAATCTTAATGACCTAAGTGAAGATGAGTTAAAGAAGTTACGAAGGAAATCACAAATATGGGAAAAGTTCGATGAAAACGGAGACCGCGCAACATGCAAACAATGTACAAAAACAATTAAAATGCAGCCTAAGAATAAAGCAGCAAGTTTACATCTTCATTTACATTATTGTCGGTAAGTACGTATATGAATAATATATAAAATTATAATATTTGAAATATTGATAAGTATAAAATAAATACATACATATAATCAAATAATATTTAAGGAGAAGATAACCATAGACATTAGAAATATGTAGTTATTGTAAAAGAATTAATAAATATATATTTTATTTCATTAATTGTTTCCTAAGCGGCTCAAATCTTAATGATGCAAGCAAAGATGAGTTGAAGAAGTCACGAAGAACATCGAAGATATGGGAAAAGTTTTATGATAATGGAGACATTGCTACATGCAAACAATGTACAAAAACAATTAAATTGAAGCCAAATCAAGAAATATCATATTTATATTATCATTTTCATGCTTGTCGGTAAGTATACATACGAATAACATCTGAAATATTGATGAGTATGTCAAATAAATATAAAAAATAATATTTAAAGAATGAGTGAACATTATGCTCTGCAAATATGTAGTTCTGTATGAAGTAATAAATTATGTATTTTAATGCATTTATTTTTCGTAAGCGGCGTAAATCTTAATGATCTAAGTAAAGATGAGTTGAAGAAATTACGAAGAAGATCACAAGTGTGGGGAAAGTTTGATATTAATGGAGACAGTGCTACATGCAAACAATGTACAAAAACAATTAAAGTAAAGCCAAATCGAGAATTAATGAGTTTCCATTATCATTTACGTAATTGTCGGTAAGTACATATACGAATAACATTTGAAGTATTGATGCAAATATGCAATAATATCAGAAAATAATATTTAAACAATAATATTTAAATAATATTAAAGGAAAGAATAAATATTATAAACTGGAAGTATGTAGTTTCTGTATAAAAATAATTAATTGTGTATTTTATTGCATTTATTCTTACATAAGTGGCTCCAATTTTTATGAACTGAGTAAATATAAGTTGAAGAAATTACCAAGGAGAAAATCACAAACGTGGGAAAAATTCGAAGATAATGGAGACACTGCGACATGCAAACAATGTACAAAAACAATTAAACTGCAGCCTAAAAAACAAGTAGCAAGTTTACATCATCATTTAAATTATTGTCGGTAAGTACATATATGAATAATATTTGAAATATTGACGTGTATAAAATAAGTGCAATAATATAATATTCAAGAAATTGATAACCATATACATTGGAAATATGTAGTTAAAGTAAAAAATAACTAATTATATAGTTTATTGCTTTTATTTTTTTCTTAAGCGGCGTAAATCTTAAAGGCGTAACAAAAGATGAGCTGAGAAAGTTAAGAAGAAGATCAAAAATATGGGAAAAGTTCGATGATAATGGAAACAGTGCTACATGTAAACAATGTACAAAAACAATTAAACTGAAGCCAGGTCATGAAGTATCAAGTTTACATTTCCATATACGTTATTGTCGGTAAGTACTTATACGAATAACATTTTAAATATTGATTAGAATATAAAATAAATATAAGAAAATAATATTTAAAGATAAAGTGAACATTATACATTGGAAATATGTATTTCTTGTACAAAAATAATTAATTCAGAATTTTATTGCATTTATTCTTTCATAAGCGGCTTAGATCTTAGTGAACTAAATGAAGATGAGTTGAAGAAGTTACGAAGAAGATCAGTAGTATGGGAGAAGTTTGATGAAGAGGGAGACAAGGCTATATGCAAGCTATGTAAAAAAACACTTTCACTAAGTTGTAAAGAACCAGTAACAAATTTACGGATCCACTTACAATATTGTCGGTAAGTATATGTATATCCAAAAACGTTTGTAATATTGATGATACATTTGTGATATATGATAATATACTCATCACTACATGATAAAATAATATGTGTAAAGAAACTTTGCGAATATACATATAATGTCGACGTATAATGTATATTCTACAATAATACGTATACAACTATTGTAGAAAATAAGTACGTTTACATTTTACTGCTTTGATTCTTTTCTAAGCGGCTTAAATCTTGGTGAACTAAATAACGATGAGTTAAAGAAATTACGAAGAAGGTCAGTAATATGGGAGAAGTTTGATGAAGATGGAGACAATGCTGTATGCAAACAATGTCAAAAAACACTGTTAATAAGTGATAAAAAACAACCCGTAACAAATTTGCGGAGCCACTTAAAATATTGTCGGTAAGTACACATACAAGAAAAATTTGTACTTAATAATTATGCAATAATATATTCGACATTACATGATAAAATAAATATTTAAAGAAAATTGGTGATTATATGTATGTGTAACGTCAATTAACAACTATTGTAGAGAATAACTAATTGTACATTTCATTTCGTTTATTCTTTCTTAAGCGGTTACAGTATTGGTAAAGTAAATGAAGATAAGTTAAAAAAGTTAGGAAGGAGATCACATATATGGTTGAAGTTTGTTGAAGAGGGAAACAGGGCGATATGCAAGCAATGTAAAAAAAAAGTGTTAATAAGTGGTGCACGACCAGCATCAAATTTATGGAGCCACTTACAACATTGTCGGTAAGTATACATACAAGAAATGTTTGTAATGTTGATGAATATGTGACATATACTCATTACTACATGATAAATTAATATTTAAAGAAAGTTTGTGAGTAGATAATGTCAATATACAACTATTGTAGAAAATATTGTAACTAATTGTACATTTTAATACATTTATTCTTTCATAAGGAGCTCAAATATTACTGAACTAAATAAAGATAAGGTGAAGAAGTCACGGAAAAAACCACAAATATGGGAAAAGTTTCATGTAGATGGAAACAGGGCAACATGCAAGCAATGTAAAGGAACAGTGTTAATAAGTGATACACAACCAGCAGTAGATTTACGGAAGCACTTACGATTATGTCAGTAAGTACACATACAAGGAACATTTGTAATATTGATGCGTATGTAATAATAGTCTCAGTATTACAGGTACATGATAAAATAATAATGAAATAAAATTTGTGAATATATAATGTTAATATACTACTATTGTTAAAAAAACTAATTGTACATTTTACTTTATTTATTCTTTTATAAGCTGCTTAAATCTAAATGAAGATGAATTGAAGAAGTCACGAAGAAGATCACAAATATGGGAAAAGTTTTATGTAGATGGAAACAGGGCAATATGCAAGCAATGTAAAAGAACAGTGTTAGTAAGTGATATACAACCAGCAATATATTTACGGGTGCACTTACGACATTGTCGGTAAGTACACATACAAGAAACATTTGTAATATTGATGCGTATGTAATAATAGTCTCAGTATTACAGGTACATGATAAAATAATAATGAAATAAAGTTTGTGAATATATAATGTTAATATACAAATATTGTACAAAATAACTAATTGTACATTTTATTTCCTTTAATCTTTCATAAGCGGCTTAAATCTTCATGGTCAAAGTAAAGATGAGTTGAAGAAAGTACCAATAAGACTAGAAATATGGGAGAAATTTGATAAAGATGGAAACAGGGCAATATGCAAGCTATGTAGAAAATCTCTATCAATAAGTGGAAGAGATCCAAAATCAAATTTACGGAGTCACTTAGCATGTTGTCGGTAAGTATACATACAAGACATATTTAAAATATTGATGAGTATATAAAAATATATTCATCATCACATGATAAAGTTATATTTAAAGAAAATTTACGAATATACATGTCAGTTTTTTCAATATACAACTATTATTGAAAATAAGTAAGTTACATTTTACTGCATTTATTCTTCCATAAGCGGCAAATCTTGCGATAAATGAAACAAAGATGAGTTGAAGAAGTTATGAAGAAGATCACAAGTATGGGAAAAATGCTATAAGAATGGAGATAGTGCGATACATTTGCAATGTATATGCAATGTACATGCAAACAATGTACGGGATCAATACAACTGCAGGATAATAATAAAACATGAAATTTATGCTATCATTTACGTTATTATCAGTAAGCAGATTTACCAATAACATGTAAAATATTGATGAGTGTAAAATGAACGTAATGAAATATTATTCAACGGAAGAAGAAAATCTCTAAGTATTAAAATACCGAATTTGTGCCACCGACTCGGACGCGAAAGAAGCCTCTGAGCCCTGATCCAATAACGCGCGGACTCTAATCACCTCCTTACTCGAATTCAAAGCTCCGACCTGAGCAGTTGCTAACAACACAGTCTCCGTGAGGGGAGAGGCTCTGGCAGAGTGAGCGCCAACAATTACTGGCTTCGTTTCGACGTCGACCCGCCCCGACTTCTCAGTCGGGGGAGCGCGACCCTCAGCAGCCTGCACGGCAGCCGCTTTCGGGTGCAAAAGGGTGTGGTGCTTCCGCTGACAACCGGGGGCACCGCAACGTTTATTCGATTGGCAATCGCGAACTCTATGCCTCCCTAAGCAGTTGTAGCAAGCGCCCGAACGTTGCACACAGTCACGTCGGTCACTCGCAGACTTCGCTTTAAAACTAATACATTTTATCAGGGGATGAGTCCCCGAACAAGCAACACATTTCGCTTTATCCGACGTCGAGGAGGAAGTGCTAGCGTGAAAGACCTTCCGTGTTTTATTAACAGGCTTACTATCGTGAGCTGTTCTCTTCTCCCCCTTATTACTCGTTAGAGATTCCGAACTCAACATGTTGAGCGTCTGTGCTCGCCTTTCCAGGAAATCTATTATGTCTGCAAAGGTAGGCAGGTATTTCAACAGATCAAAGTCTGCCGATCCCATACTCAAAGCAGCCTTCCGGTCTTTCGCGCTGAGCTCAGCCTCCCAGAGTCTCCGAGACTCCGGATCTAATTTCTCCGCGAGAATGTGGACAAGCCACTGATCCCAATGCATTACCGGCAACCTCATATTCGTGAGCGCGCGAACAATACGCGTCGCTTCGTCGGTAAACGCACGCAAGCCTACCGCCGATTCCTTCTTTAAGTGTTGGAGTTGTAACAAAGACGTAAGATATTTCGCAAGAATGAGACGTGGGTTATGATATCTCGCCTTTAGCGTTGACCATGTACTAACATAGTTCGCGTTTGTCGTTTTGACATCCCTGATTAACTCGGCAGCCGGACCCTTCAAGCACGATTTCAGAAATTGCAACTTAGTCACGTCCGCGAACTTGGGCACCTCGTGTACCAGAGCGGTAAAGAGGTCGCAAAAGCTCTCCCAGTCCTCGTATTTCCCCGAGAACGTGGGTAACGGTATTCGCGGTAGACGCACCACGGACGCATCCGCCTCCGGCTCGGATGGCTCCGTGTCCACCCGTCGAACACTTGAAACCGATTCCTCCCGGGCCTCGAACGGCACACGCGAAGTCACCAATAAATCGCGCACATCCTCGTAAGTGGCATGCAACGTAGCGTACACATCGTCCACCATATACGGATCCGTTTCCGCCCCCTTTTTGGCTGAAATTTCCAAATGTGTCTTGCGCGCATTATCCCAGATCTCATTCAAGCTCTCCAACCGCGATTGAATAACAGTTTTGTTCAAAGTAGCGCTATCTTTACTGCGAAAGCGTTCCTGTATTAAACGCATCTCCTTTAGACGCACGTTCTGTAACGCGACCCATTTCCTCAACGTAGGAGGCGCCATGGTAAGCAACTCGATATCGCCAATTAAATTCACCGAACAAGATCAGCGTATATTTCACAACACGACAATACCCTTTCACGGTAGTGCAGACGGCACCCGGACAAGTGTCCGTCACGCAACCCGAATCGCTTAGGTCCGCGACGTAGGTACAAAACGGGGTTTGTACCTACTTATGGTTGTCGACGAGCCTCGAATGGCAATTGGTCCAGAAACTCGTACCGCCACACAGTTCCGAGCAGTATTCCAAATGCGTTATGCTCACACCGCATACACTCTCTGGGACGACCAACACTGTCTCCCTCGCAATCGCTCTCCTTCACACCGCCTCAGGTTTCACAATAAGTGCGTAAACGCGCTGAAAACGGTACAGAGAAACAGTACTATGTCATGAACGAGAAGACATGCATCCCACACCTTCCTCACCCGGGGCACCAGAAATTTGTGTTTGTATCGCTTCATCTATCTCGATGAAGCCCTAGCCGAAGTTTGAATCATCGGAACGCCTCGGACATTCGGTACGCGCATAAGTCTCATAAATATTAAAGCCGTGGGTTCGTAGATAAGGAAGCGGGATGCAATCTTTGAAAGGAACACATAATTACAACATGCCATTTTCCGCGATACACACCCACTTGCTTAGGCATAAAAACCCTTGCGAGTCAAGGGAAAAGCCCGAGCAAGCGCTCACTTTATTGATTCTCAAATACCTGGCCCGCCGCATTAGCGGGCGCAGGCAGCAACCCGTCATATACATGCCCATTCACATCAATCACATCACATAGTCGCAAGTACATCCGGTAACCGGCTCAACGCGCGGTAACTGTCTCTCCGCGAGACCGTAATGGCCACGAAAGCCCGAAATGGCGGCGCGTCGTCACAGATCGATACCGCCCCCTTTCCCGAAGAAACATCCGTCGTCCCGCTGTCCCGTCGGAAGGTACGTCGAACCGCGTATTTATCCGCGGCCGACGCTGTGGGAGGGTGATGCGGCTGGCCCCTCCGCACCCCCACACGCCAGAGATGAGGCTCGCGTCCACCCCGGGAACACGGCCCGCAAAGTGACGAGGCGACGCACTCGGCCACCCCGTCCCCCCAAACCAAGATCCAAAGCCGCAACGCGGGCTAGAGAGAGAGAGATAGAGCGATGAGACGGCGTACCACGCACGTCCCGCACTCCCCACCCGCCACGACAGCGAGACGGCGCGCACGCGAGGTACAATGGTGGAAGGCCCGAATGGCCGTCGTCACCCCTACCCCCCGCGGACGCCCCATAATTACCTTTGTCCTTCCCGATATTCGCCGCGCCGGTCGGATCCGCCGTCGAACGAGCCGCAGGGCGCTCGCCTTCTCCCGGTGGCTGAATCCGTTGTATCTCCCGGGCAGAAGCCTGGCAAAGGCGAGCGAGATCGCCTGGGCAGGGTCCCCCCGTCCCACCGTCGTTGTGTAGTGGACGATGGTCGCTCAGCCTCCCGCGCTCGTAGGCTGGATAGCGCAGGATCTGCGGGCACTCTCCACCGTCCTCTCGACCGCCCTCTCGCAACGGCCGGCTAGCTGTCGCAGGGTCCACCGGGTCCACGGGCCTTCCCGATGATCTTCGTCCATCCACCCGTGCCTTGACCGTTACGCCCGGTCTACAATGAGTCGTTAGTCGTTAGTCAGAAGTCGGAACTATATGTCGGTCCTTTTTCTTCCACCCAGAAAGGAAAAGAATCAACATATAGTTGCGACTTCTGACTAACGACTATCGACTCATTGTAGACCGGGCCTTACTCTCTTGACTGCGAACGGTTCTCTCCTCCGTTTCGCACTCTCCTCTCTCCCGAATCGCACTGCCGCACTGTCGCTAGCCGGAAGGAAAGTTGGCGAAGGAGGCGACTCGCACCGCGCACGCCGCACTCGCTTCCGCTCGCACACTTGCGCGCCGCGCACGCGCGGCCGGCGCCGTCGAACACTTTCGCCGCGCGGCGGCAACGCCGTTCCGCCGGTAACCCGGCTAATACAAACGACCGCTCATTCGCCGCGAACAAAATGAATAAATATATTCAAAACTATACGAAAAATATTTTAGAAGGACCGGAACTCCGACTTTCCGATCAGCAGAGCACACTTATCTGCTTAGAAATGGATTTTTCGGGGATTATGAATTTTTAAAAAGTAACAGAGACTTGCCACTGCCTAGAACTCTTCGGAAAATGAATATACATATATATTTAGAGCTCTAAGAGAAATATTTTAGAAGGACCGGAACCCCGACTTTCCGAGCAGCAGAGCACACTTATCTGCTTAGAAAGGTGTTCTTCGGGGATTATGAATTATTAAAAAGTAACAGAGACTTGCCACTGCCTAAAATTCTTTGAAAAATGAATAAATGTGTTCAGAACTACACGAGAAATAGTTTAGAACCCGTAGAACTATCGAAAATCCGTCAGCGTCTTAGTCTTATGATAAATACATCATTTTTTCTATCGGCTGTTTTTGTATAAAATCGCCGGAACTATTATTAAAAAGTATCAGGAACTATGGAACTCGACTGCATGCGACAAGAACTCCCTTTAATTTTGGATCTGCTAGAAAGTGATCTGCTACGGGAAGTTAGCAGATCATTTTTTCGATCGACTGTTTTTTGGTTTTAATCAACCGAACTATTATTAAAAAGTATCAAGAACTACAGAACTCGACTGCATGCGATAAGAACTCCATTTTATTTTTGATCTGCTGGGAAATGATATGCCAACTTCACAGGCATTCCGACATTTCTGATGATGTCTGTGAAGTTGGCATATCATTTCCCAGCAGATCAAGAATAAAATGGAGTTCTTATCGCATGCAGTCGAGTTCTGTAGTTCTTGATACTTTTTAATAGTAGTTCTGTTGATTTTATACAAAAACAGCCGATAGAAAAGAAAGATGTATTTATCATAACACTAAGACGCTGACGGATTTTCGATAGTTCTACGAGTTCTAAACTATTTCTCGTGTAGTTCTGAACACATTTATTCATTTTCCAAAGAATTTTAGGCAGTGGCAAGTCTCTGTTACTTTTTAATTACTTTATTAGAAGCTGTTATATTCTTAATATCTATTTTATAATTTATATGTATACAATTTTAATATTCTCCCCAATAGCTTTAGCGACGATAGAAAGTTAAGAAAACCTATTTTTATCCGAGTTTTCACTTGGCACACTAGGGATTCACTAGTACTGGCTCATGGTAGTGATTATCCAACATTTAACTATTATCAGAAAAAACTTGAGAGCGGCCACCGGAAGTCTACTAGCTCAGAAACAGACGCACCCCCTGGCAAAGTGGATGTCAACTACGTCCGTTAATTCGGTAACGGTATGTACACAAGCTATAGTTCATGTCCAAACTTTTCAGATGGTTATGAGAGTCAGATGAGATAAACAAGTGAATCAATCAATTGGTCTGACTTTGTATTATTTAGAACAACAGATTGATTCACTTATTTATCTCCTCTGACTCTCATATCCATCTGAGAAGTGTGGACATGAACCGTAGTTTGTGTACCGTTACCGAGTGAACGGACGTAGTTGACGTCCACTTTGTCAGGGAGCGCATCTGTTTCTGGTAGACTTCCGGTGGCCGCTCTCAGGTTTCTCTCTGCCATTATACATATGTATTGTACATATGTATACGTATTTAATAAGGAAAATGTAATTTCAAAAATTATAATATTTTAATTAGCATGCGTATATCTTTAAATTACTAAAACATGTTTTAATGGTATGCATTACTCAACAAGTAAAATGTCAGTAATACCCAGCAAGCAAAATGTTAGCAGTCTGCCAGCGGAGGATCCCCACATTTTTTATGGAAATTGGCTTTCGGTTAAATTTGTTGAAATTGAAGTATGTTGCTTTGCCTACTTTACTGATAAAAAGTATCAATAAGCACAATCTTCTAAAACAATAGGTTGGACGTCACGGAATTTCAAAGAAAGCTGAAACTATTAGGATTTGAAGGTAAAGAAGATTTGAAGTTTAGAAGAACTTATTTTGGTTTAACAATAAGGTAATTTGTAATGTTTCATGTGGATTCGCTTGCCAGTGTCAAGATCGCGGAAGATAGCACTAATTTGTTCTTACTATCAGTCATTTATTATATCTATGATTTACTGACAATGACATGATAAGAGCGATTTTGATTCGCAATTATTTCCTACAATTTTTTATTTAAAAAAATGTTAATGGTAAGATTGTTTTATATGGGCCTTAGTTTGCCTACCAAAGGTAAAAAAACGTTTTATGGTAATCTGTATTGATTAATGGCTCAAATAAAAGATCTCGTCAAGTAGATTTAGAATATATCTCTATATTTTTGTATTATTGTATACGCCTGTGGTTTATGAAACAAAGGACGCCATAATTTATATTTTGAAAAAATTATTTTAAAAAATAATTTTCATTTTAAAAGAATTATTTTATATCTAAATTTTACGAGCGAATCCGCATGAAAAAAAATTACAAATCACTTATTGTTAAACAAAAATAAATTTCTAAACTCTATATCCGTTTACCTACAAATTCTAATATTTTCAGCTGTAAAGTTTCGTGGCACCCAAACTATTGCTTTTATGTGGTTGTGCCCATTGACGCTTTTTATCAGTAAGGCAAGAAGAGTAACGTATATCAATTTCAACACATTTAATCGAAAGCCAATTTCCATAAGAAATGTGCGGGGTCCTTTGATCAGTATGTATTGCAGGGAGTTGACATTAACTGCACATTAAACTTGTGTTTCTACCTGCAGAGCTTTGAAGCATTATATGCGTGACAACATGTAGAATAATATTATTATGCCTGCGGAATTACAGAGCTATTGTTAATATTTTATTACGAAAGATGATAGCTTGATATATGGTAAAAATAAAAGAAAAAGCTGAAAGCTTTTCAGCACAATTCAAAGGATGATTTTTATGAAGTGTGATCCAATTCGTGCATTTTCCATTTGTAAGGTCTTCTTTTATAAATTTGTAATTTCTCTTGCAATAAAATGGTAGGAACGGATTGCAATAAACGAGCTTAACGGGAAGTTAACTTCAATAAAAATGCTCGGTTCAATGTTAAGGTTCCATCGTCCTTTGAATATTTGCTGCAATAAATGCGGCACAATACTGTAAACTTTCTGTCGACGGAATGAAGATCTTTATTGTTCACAAATCTCATTTTCCACGCCATTGAGGTCAATCGGCACAAAAACATTCTTTTCCATGAAAACATCCGTGAATATACAACAGCTAGAATACGTTTATTGTTTCCAATCGTTTCTTGATAAGATTTTATTTATGAAACCAATGTATTTCTGTCAATATTTCTTTGAATATATTGTCCGTGTGAGTATGTGGTAAAAAATATAAATATTTAATATAAACATCTTTAAGTAGCTACATGCTTAAAATATAAATATGTTACATTTTTATGTAGCACTCTTATAAGAATGTCGACTTGATATTGATATATAGTTTCGACTTTCGCCAATATATTTACAATTACGCTTTATTTACTACTAACCAATCCCATTTTTATCAACAGACTGGTTCAAACTCGGTGGAAACATACGCCTGTTTCATGATGCATCGTGCAATCGAAAGAATGCATCAACGAGCGATGCGCTCGTACTCGGTTCTGCACGTATCCAATGGCATACGGTATTCCGCGGGTTTTATGGCAAAACTGCGATGGTATAAAAAAGATTAGACTGCATAATTTTTCTCGACGATTCCAGGCGGGAATGCGCGTATCCGTAACCAATGTGCTGCGCCCGTAAACTGGAGTCGCCGTAAAATTCAAACGTTTCTCGTATGCAGAAAGGAGTGCGTGACGAGCCACCATAAATTTCCGAAATTTCATTACCGGGTAATTACTGAATTTTATGACATTGAACTCTCATTGTCAGTGAATTCATACAATTCCTTTTTACTCTAGATCTATCTATTTCACGATCTTTTTCGGGCATTGCAAGATTTTTAATTCCGAATTAGTCTCTCTAGAACTCGAAAAAAGGTGCATGAAAAGGTTATTAAAGAAAGTATCGGGAATATTTTCTCCGTGTAAAGTAATGAAAGAAACAATTTAATAATTTGTTCAAAATATATTAAAGAAATATATTTGGGTAAGAAAATGTACGAAATTTGCAACTTCTTCAATTCACGTTTAAAAATGTATTGCAACTATTTGGATTTCTGATCTTCTTTAACCTATGTTAAGGAAAATGTTTTAAATAAGCTATTTGATTGTTATAAGATATTGTAAATGCGTTATATAAATGATATTACTATAATTAATTTTATAAATAGAGGACTAATTATTATAGTGTGCTTAGTAGAATTAAATATTACAGCTTGTTGTTAATAAAATTGATAAAAATCTACTATTACGTGCGTTTAAGATAATATTAACTAATAAACCAATTACATCCTGTTTTAATAAATATACACAATTTAAAATTAACTTACAAATGTGTGTTTTCTTTGGTAAAAAATATTTCTTTGTCTTTGAAAGAACAAGATTTCCAGTCAGATATGCCAAGTTTCGTCGACATTTGACTGAATTTTGCAGTAATTTGCCCGTCTCTTCTGTCTTTCAAGAAGAATCGACAACATCATTATCTACCGAATACAATGGAATGCATTGTTGCGGTTTAAATATACACAGCTTGAAAAAGAAAATATATTGGGGTACATTTTCCTACGAGAAAGAAGGAAATAATGATGACTTTCACTATAATATCAAACATATCCGCAAAATAATAAGCTTACTTTCTCCGTAAAGAACGCTACAAATTATAAATTTGTAGTGTACAAAATATATTTTATATTTATTGATGAAAATATAATTATTTATAATAATTCTAATATTAATATTAGTTAACATTATTATAAAAAGTTTCATTCGATAATATTCAATCGATTACTTATCGCACTTTTACATTTATCTGTGAGAAATTCTCTCTTAAACAACTATCAAAAATTTGCATAATATACTTACACCGTTGACTTTTGTGTTAGAAAAAAACAGTTAATAGTATACAAAAATCTACTTATTACTAAATTTTATTACATATATATATTATATATTCTCCTGACTTCGTTTGTACGATACATTGCGGTATCGATTATCAGGTCCACAATTGGTGATGGAATTACGTTACTAATTTGGCGAATATAATGTATCAATTATCGGTGCTATTGTTGACATAATTATGTCAATGTTTCCAGTATACTGTATCCCTTGAGAGATAATGTATTGATTCTCTCTCGAGACCAATTGTCGTGATTCCGTCAAGTTGCAACAGAATACGTTGTCGTAAGTAATAATAATAAAAAGAAGATTTGAAAACGCAT